CAAGGCAACAACAGAGCCTGAAACACAGGTAGGCAAAAATCGAGATGTTCCAGGCCTTGGAAATGGCATTTTTATAAAGAGGGAATGTGTAGTAGAAACTGAGCTGATGGAGAATAATGGGAAGAGCACAGAGGCACCAGGAAACACCACCCTGATAACCAGGCACAGGTGAGGGCCCAAAGGCTTAGTCAGGGCAGAGTCTCAAGTTCAGATTCCGGGCAGTCATCCAGAACTGCATTTGGGGTCTGCCCAGGGTAAAGGGAAAGCATTCCTGCAAGAATCCATTTAGTTTATGTTTACGGCTGAGGGTTGGAAGGAAGACAATACTGCGTTAAAATTATAAATAAAATGTTTCAGTTTGTTTGGTTGTGGCTCAGTTATCCCTACACTCTCCTAAATCCAGGTGGACAACATTTCCACTGCCTGGTTTTCATCGTGGCAGATTGTGTCATCACAGCAGGGCAGAAACGTGGTGTGCTGGTCTGGGGAGCCCCTACCCTTCCAGCTGGGATGCTGGGTTACTGCAGCCTCCTAAAGTTTATACATTTCAAGAATAAATATTATTGGCTGAAAAAAACCACCATCTTTTGTTTAAATTAAAATCTTTCAATTAATCTTAAAGTAAATTCACAAAAAAGACTAAGCATGTATTATAAATATTTGCAGCTGGTTTTCAGTCTTTGCTGGTTGAGATATTTGGTTTGGTTTTTTTGCATTGGTCTTAATGTATTACTTTTGTTTACATCTCTCAAAATCCATATAATCCTCCAGAAGGGCATTTCTTGCCTTTTTTTTTTTTCCCCCCTCCATTGAAAGGATAATGGGCCTGATCCTTCATTACATTAGCAATGATGAACTGCAGCTAAATCACCCCAGCTAAAAACCTGCCTCTCCAAATACACTGACAGAAAAGCAGCAAGAGCAGTTGGTGGAATTAAAGCCTTTTGTCATAATGGAGTGGCAAACACTCTGCAAAACATTCCAAAGGTAAGATTATCCTCACAAACCACAGGGAGAGCAATCTCTGGTAAAGCAAATCCTAGGGCATCCTGAGAGAGACAAGCTGATCGCTCCTCTGAGAGTCACCTAAATCCTCCCCTTGCTTTGTGGTGACATGGAATGTGGACATTCCACGAGCTCTCAGGGCTCCTTTCGGGGGATGCACACGGGGGCTGGAGATGTGCTGCTCCAAGGGATGCTTCAATCTCATGGACAGCCTGGATAAGAATGCTCCAGCAGTCACAACAGCATCTCCCATGTGCTGACATGGGAAGTGGTGACGGTAACGGGGGCAAATTTAAACAAAAATACTTCTTGGCTAATGTGTTCCCAATGCGCTTAGAGCAGGATGTCGAGGAAAGGAAACCGGAGGGCTTTTAAATAACCAAATCAGCTTGGGGGAGGACTGATTTATCTAATCCTTGCTCTCTGTATCTGGGTCACTTTAAATAATCTGATGATTAAAAGGGAGCTCCTCCTTTCGTGAGGGCCCCTAAAGGAAGCAGGGGTCAAAGCACGACCCACAGGGCTAATGGGGAACACGTTCCATTGTCATATCCCAGCTGCAGGAATTTGAAAATTGAAAGGAAGCACTTCTTACTTAGGTGCCTCCAGGAGAGGACAGCTCCCTTACAGTTCCCAAACAGGAGCAGATTGTATTGCCTCACTTGGTCTTTTTCCTTTCAGCTCTTTGTACCTCAGTCACTTGGCATTTGTCAAATCACCTCATCCTAAGAGGTGCAACTCTCTCCACATGACCTTGTTTGGAATGGAGGAAGGTCAGGATGGATCCATTCCTTAAGGAATGCACAGTCAGAACTGCTCAGCATCGTTGCTGCAGGGACAGTCTACAGGTTGGTTCAGTTATTAAGATTATTGCATTTGGGGTATCAACACACTTGGCAGGTTGATACTCCTGTTATGGGACATCCCTGATGTCTGCACATGAGTCTGACTTTAAGAGAAAGCAACAGAGACCAACAGCAATTTATCAAGGGGAAGGGTTGGACTGACTAAATCTGGTGATGTTTCTTCCACCTGGGAAAAAAAAAAATCAAGAACTCACATAAGAATTCCTAACACGTCACAAGAGCAGACACTTACTGGGAGGAAGAGCACAGAAAGAATTGCTTTGCCAAAGCACAAGCAACAACTAAGAATAGGTTTGGAGTAAAAGAAGTGATATGCCAAAAAAGACCAGCAACTTCTACATCTCTGGCTGTGCCCTCATTTCAGCCTTTGCCTGAAACGTGCTGGAGGAAGATGTGAGCCCTCAAATGACACAGATGCAGGTGAAAGTGGAGTCACTCAATTAGTAATCACTGTGCAATTAAGCTTTGCATCAAAATAGAAATTACTTTTCTAAAAATAGCAGTGATGACATGTTAGCCTAAAAGGAACAGGCTTCATAAAAGAGGAAGATGAGCAAAATAACAACTCCGAAGGCCAACATGAAGCTGAAGGGCAAAGCAAAGTAATCTAATAGAAATCCAAAATCCATAAAATCAGGGCTCTGAATGCTTAACAGCCTCAGATAGCACAGATAGGGTTTGTAATCCCAGTGGTTACAGTGGTTTTAATAGCATTTTCGGAGGTAATTCTGTTATTTCGTTGTTGCAAGGAACTGGAAAATGAGCCTGGTTTTTCAGATGTCACTGCTTGTAAGTTCTGATAAAAGCCAGTGTGTTTTTATACCATGTAATGGAGAAAATGAAAGCAAAACCAATAAACTGAACAAACTGGAGTTGTGACTACTCTTTTATCTACCAGTTCATCACCAGAGAAGAGATTCTGTCAATATGGCAAATTGTCATCACTGGAAATGAGAACGACCTTGACAGACAGCGAGTTCTTTAAAGAGGAAGTGATGGAGCGACCTGAGTAACTTCCCTGGCATTAAATCACCCCCAGCAAATGGCATTTCACAGGGGCCTACAAAAAATAAAGTGTGAAATAAGAGAGATGCCAAGGAGAGGATGTCATATACCCCCAATGGCAACAACTGCTCCTGAAAGGTTTCAGGGTGACAGTCCAGCACCTGTCCTTAAAAACAGAACGGAGAGGAAAAAAGAAAGACAAGCTGAGAATTTCAGTCATGATCTGTCACTTCTGTATTCAATTTACCTTTAATTTGTATTGTTGTTCATTTCTCACTTTGTCAATGAAGCTCTTTCCTGACACAGTGTTTTTCTTTCCATCCTTTCATCAAGAACACTCTTCCTGACTACAAAACTTAGTATTTGAGCGTACTCTGTTCAATCATTTCTTTTTTATATAACTTCATATTTTCATTTTCTGACCAGCTGTAGCTAAGTATGTTTGAATCTTTTTTAAATATTTTATCATAAATCACATGTCTAGTCTTTATTAATTCTGAAGTTTCAGGTTTCCTTCTCGGTTTTTTTTTTGCTAACATTTCTATGACATAAGTCATTGTTGATGTGTCAATGCAACCTAGAGCAGGAAGGCAGCATTCACCATCCTCATTCTGTTTGTGGAGCATAAAAAAATTCCTTTAGAATTAAAGTAAACCTTCCACTGGAATTCCTCCTCGGCAGCTGCAACAGGAGCCTCTGAACACCTCCCTCCTGCCTGCTGTAATCCAGCTATCATCCATCTTCTCCATCTCTTCTGGAAAAGCACAGCAGGCCAGAAAGGCCCCCAACCCAAAGGCCCCAAAGCTGGATGACACCACATTAAGGACTCACCCTCCCAGTCAACTCAAGGGGATTTGTTTAATGAAGACAGTGTGTCACAAATCCAGGACATATGTATCCCAGTAGTTGGAATTCATCCTGTCTGGAGGCAACCAGGGAGCAGTAATGGGGGGAAAATGTCCTCCATCACATTAATTCAATTAAATCAAGTAGCAAATGCCTGTTAGCAGCTCTGTGTGCCTTACAAAGCATCCAGTGCTAACAACAAATGTTTCAAACCAGAACACTATATAAAATAATACCTGTGAAAATATTTTCCAATTCTAATTGGATTTTCTTTTTTTTAATTTAGAAAACCCCATTTATTTTTCCAGCCTGAGGAAAAGCCTTTCTGAAGACTTTTTGAGCGATAATGCTTCATGAAAGTAACGTTTTCTACAATTATTTCTCTTAAAAGACTCAAACCCCTAACATTAAAGACATGATCTTCTAATAAACATGAAAAGGCTGATAAATGTACGAAGAAACTCATCCAGTTTGCTCATTATGAAAGGAGGTTTGAGCACTGGAATTACACCATTTCTTATCTTTAATGGGAAATAATTGACCACCAGCTGTCCCAAGAGAGCACTTTGGGAGTTATTTTGGGGCAAAAAGCATAATAAAGACAATATTTTTACAATCTTCAAGTCAGGTAGCTTAAAGACCTTTTCAGTTTCTCTCTCTTAAATGTGATGAAGGCACAGACAAACCTATTTATTTTGTAAAGGTATTTGTTCACCTCCTGCTCTTTACTGTGCACTGTCCACCTGGAATTGGGAACACCCAGGAGGGAACATGCCCCTGTTCTCTGGTGGGGTTTGGAGGGCAGTTTTTACAGTTGGTTTCCCTGCCAGGACAAGGTGAATTGAAATTCTTCCTGATCACGTAAGGAAGGAGTTCAGAAGCCTGGAGTGAGTTCTCTGCAAATTTTTAGCCAAAAAATAACCATATAAAGCAATTGTATAAATCAAGTCATGGAGAAATCCTCTTCTTCATTACTGCTCATCAAATTCCACTCAAATATCATATTTCTACCCTTGGAAAAATTTCTGAAACGAGTTCTTAAAGCACACCAGGAGATCCTAAAACATTTCAATCACCAACAATATGAGTTCCTGTTTACACAATGAGCATGTAATGACTTCAACTTGCTATTTACTTTTATTCTGCTTCCAGTGAACACCCCAATTCCCTTGATTTGTCAGGTTTGGACATTTGGAATCAGTGCCTAAAACCTCAGATCTTCCATATAAAGCCTCACCAAGCAACTTTTAGAAGAGAGAAGGGAAATCAGCACCATACCTGAGACTGTGCATTAATATTGGCTCCTTCCTTCACCAGAACTTTGACAACTTCAGTTTGTCCTGCTAAGGATGCAATGTGCAGGGCTGTATTCCCTTTCTGTTGGAGGGAAAGGGGAAAAATGAAAGATATTATTACCCTTCTTCAGGAATCATTTCAACCAGCAGTTTTTTTGTAACAGTCGGGTTCATGTGCCTGCCTGTGCAAAGGCTGAAAGCAAAACAACTTATCCCATGGGTGTTTTGTTCCATTGTGCCAGGAGAAAAAGGGTTCTGGATATGGTAAAGTCACTGACTGATTTTCACAGATTTGAAAAAAAATCTACTTTTTGGAGTTATATTCAGTCCTCTGTCTAATGGGGACCTGTCACTGGAAATAAAGAAAAATCTGGCACTGCTAAAAACTTCTAATGTTTCCCCTGTATTATTGGACAAATAATATTCTCCTCTTCATTTATTACTGATGGCCATCAGCAAGAAAGACTCCCAGGCCAAAAGAGAAGTACCAGTTTAAATATCAGTAAGGCATTTATGGTTTGTTTGATTTTTTTTTTCTGTATTTCTCCCACGTGTTTGACTTTTCCTTTCAGTAACCAAACATGCAGATGAGTGGGAATTACCTTCGTGGCAGAATCCACGGCCGAGCCTCTCTCCAGCAGTTCCTGTACCAGTCCCACATGGCCTTCTTTGGCTGCCAGGTGCAGAGCATTGAGTCCATTCTGCAAGCACAAGGGCCAGATCCATTACCAACCATCAGCTCCACATTCCTACCTTAGCCTGGGATAGGAGGAGGATTAGGAGCTGGAGCAGTATTACCTCTCTTAGCTGACTGTCTACATAAGTCAGATGTTTTGGACGTGGCTCTGTGGGACAAACTTCTCCAGTAACGTTTTTCTCATAGCAACAAAGACATCAAAACACAGTGTATTTCGTGAGGAGCCAGAAGACATTCCTTCCTTTCTGACAGCTTCCCACTTCCCCCCTACCTTGGGCATCTCCATGGAGCTCAGTATTTCAAAACCTGAGCGCATTTCTGCCTTCTCTTTACTGTAACCTTATCCAGCTCCCCTGAGGAATTATCAACACTGAGAAATCACAGGACTTAGCCCAATTTACACAGGATATGTCTATTCAATCAGGATTACTCCATGCTGATGGAGCTGAACGCTGGACTCTGCTCTGGGATAACTGGTATTAAACAGAAACCCCAAAGCACAGATAGACCAAAATGGTTGTTGATTACTTGTGGTTTCCAAAATTGATCCTTGATCTGGCACCCCTGCTGCTCTCTGAGCATGTCTTCACGAAACTTTGAGGTTTTGAAACCTCAAAAAGGAAAAGAAAATAAGACCTAAGATTGTCCAAAAAGCAACCTAAGAAAGTCAGCATCTAAATCCTTTCCACATTAAGCAAGAACAGGATGCTTTCTTTCATATAAATTCCAGTCACGGAAACCTTTTCTTCTTCTTCCTACTATCCCCATTCCACCCAAGGGAAAAAAACAGAATGACAGTCTGCTGTAGCTGAATTGCCAACCTGTTTTTCACAACCCTGCAATAATTTTCATGCTACATCAGGCAGGTGACAGGGACAGATCCTGCCATTCTCCCCAGCCCTCTCCTGCTTTCCATACTGCCAGCATCAGGAGCGATGCTCAGGTATTTGAGTCCCCAGCAGCAAGTGCAGCACGGCGTCATTTTTATCACTTTGCTCATCTCCAAGCACTTCAGAGTCATTTCTGTTGGGAACTAAACAAGCAGTTTTCTGCCTTTTCTTGTCCGTGCACAGAGGCAGTTCAGGCTTGTAATTCCCAGTGGGATTTTAAAGCACTTAGCACTTCACAGGAGGCATTTGATGGGAGTGGGTCCAACGGCTTTGGACACAGCAATCCAAACGCAGCTCTGTGCTAACTCCATTCCACTGCACGCCCATGTGAGCAGCACTGGCACATTTTGTGGTCAAATCCAGAAGTGGAACTATGAGAAAAGCAAAGGAAGTGAAGGCAGGCTCCACTCACAGGTTGCCAGAAGCAGAGAGGAACACCCTCGTGCAGCCTGGCAGTTGGGAAATGTTAATGAGAAACGTGGTTTCAAATCCCATTATGTGGGAAAAGCAGCGGCAACCAGATCCTCCTTAATCCACAGGAACACTCTTAACTACAGAGCTGCAGAGCCCAGGGGTGGCAGCAGTGCCATGCCCCGGATCAAGGATAAATCCTTGGCCAAAAATACGTGGCGAGGTTGACCATAATCACCAAGATGAGGAACACCGCACATGTCAGGGAATATTTTGCAGGCTGAGAAGGTTTCAGAAACCCCTAATCTTCCCTGGGTTTTAATCTCAGCTGAGCATTAACTAACCATAATTACTACCTACAGTGGTTGAGAGCTTAGAAACAGTATTTTGTGGGGAAACAAAGTGTTCTTCTCATCGTTTGAGAGCGAAGACCCATTCTCATATCTAATCTCACCAATTCTGCCACCAACACTCTCCATGGGAATACGAAGGGCAGCTGGGCCTCCTTACAGCTGATGTACTGCTGTGACATGTTATTAACCTTTCTGACTCTTTGGGAGCAGATTGGAGTCCACAAACAGCACAGCAACTGCAATATTCATGGCCCATAACCTCCCCTGAATACAAAAGGATGTGAGGGTAAGCCTCTAGTTCAGTTTACCACGTGCCAGAGGATGGAGAGAGCGAGGCTTGTCCCGGTGCTTAATCAGTAGGAATTTCTTAAAATACCTGTATTCCTCCCTCTGAGACACATAACTACTGATGTCACATTAAGCACCTGAAAGCTGATATTGCTGCATAGATTACGTGAGTTTCTTTGCAACTTTTTAATTCAGTGAATACTCGAGGTCCACTAAAAAGGTCACAGGAAGAAACTCTAGCTTAAATATAGTTCCCACTACACACATTCAAACTCCATAATTCCCTAAATAAAGCAAGCTGGGGTAAGCAGCAGCAAGCTCTGCACTTTAAATGCTGAGGGCCAGCACAACTGAAGCCTTAAAGCAACCTTTGTTCTGTTCCTCCCTAATCAGAACCAATGCTGCAATTATTTCCCAGCCCACGTGGCTGATCCCTGCCACTTCTGATGATGGAATCTCAGATTTAATCAATGCAACTCCTCCATTCCTGTCAACTGGATTCTTGCCGTTCACAACAACGAAGGTTTCTGACATGTCCCTTTTTTTTTTGCTCTCCCCTGCCCACCAAAAAGTTGGGGAGGGTGAAATTAGTTGTCTGCTAAGCAGAACTGTGCAGCATGAGGACAAAGCACACATATACCCTAACTGCCACTCTTCTGGAGGCTCCTTGGCAATTTGAACTCTCAGAAAAGAACACCATACTAAGCCTCCCAAGCTTGGTTCTTCAAGTGTCTCCCTGCAGAGCCTCACAGCCTTCCTTGAATGTAACGATTCCTACTTCCCTGAAATTCCCTTCCATTAACATCTCAGGAAGCAAGAATGTAGGTTGGCAAAATTAAACCTCATCTCTCCCTGTGTGAAGAGTCTGACCCCTTGTAACTTCCAGAGAGAGTTACAAGTTGGGATGCAACACTTTGCAGGAAGATTTGCTAAGGTCTGAGTTTCTACTTTCTACCTGCCCCTGCCTTTGCCACAAAAGATTAAAGTGGCATTTCAGCAATTTACAGATAAAAACATCATGAAAGCCAACAAAAATAAAGCAACAAACCCCCTTGTTTTTATAATGTTTCCACGTTCTCAAAGTGTGAAGTGCAATGTGCTTTCACCAAGTTCCTTCCGCTGATGCTGTGGTCACAGACTTATACACATGTGGAGTCTTTTCCAACCTTAACCATTCCATGATTCTATGATAAAGGCCAATACCAAAGCATCACTTAAAAACACAGTGAAAACAAACTACCCAGCAGAGGCAGAAACTAAAAATAAACATAATGGTCTTTGTTAAAGTCAAGCACTTTTCTCTGTCTCTTTAATAGATGTCACTCTAAGGTTGCTGCTGAATAAATCTCGTGGGGAGGTAAAAAGTGCGTGTGGTCAAACTCTCTTCAAGAAAGATTTGGGAAAGGGCACATCAGAGAGCAGGGCATGGCTTTCTCAAGTCCGAAGGTTTGTTGAAGTTTTTCCTAAAAATATCACCGAGAAATGAAGTGCATTGTCAAGAAAAGAAAAATCCTTTCAGATTATGCAAATTCTCCCTTTGTGTCGCTTTGCAGCCCACGAACTCGAGAAAATGAATTAACCCACTGAGCGACACCAAAGGCAACCCTGCAGACCTCGTTATGGCACAGAGCTACTGCAGGCTGCAGCTGGCACTGCTGAGAGCAGGAATGCAGAAAACTTCAGAACAAATGCCAAAATCCATCAGTTTTCCCTTCCAAGAAAGCGAGTCCATCGCCATGAGAACAGACAGGTCTCCAAGTAGGAGACAGGGAAACGTTACTTTGTGTTGCCTTTGGATCATCAGTTCTGTTTCCAAAGCCAGCAGGCAGCTGATGAACCCTTAGACTGCTCAGGTGTTGGGGTCTAACTCCTGTTGCAACCTTGGGCTGCCCAAATGCAGGGTGTTAAAGTAAAGGTCATTCTAAACATGCTGCAGAAGCAAGCTGTTTTCCCTTGCTACTTCACTAGAAACAACCACCACATCCTAAAAAACTACATTTGTAACATAAGGAAAATAGCTCTAAAGGAATCAGAGATTTCCAGTGATTATCAGTTATCCATCCTATAAAATAGCAGGAAATAAAGAACTAGAAATTTCATAATAATTGACCTTGATACAAGGGTAGCATTCAACAAAGCATAATTAGGTAATAAATAATTATTAACTATGTATCTATATTAGTAATGACTTCCTGTATTCAGTATACCCAGAAACATTAAGCTCCATCAGATTTTGGAAACAGTTACATTGGGAAAATCCTTTGGTTACCCATAAAGACAGACCCCTCTGAAAACACTTAGGATCTGAGAAACAAACACTGCACTGGAGAAAGCACCTCCTGGTGTTCTCTCTGTTCAGGAAAGCTTATTCTTAACATCATGTACATTTTTCCCAGATGGAATCTCGTCTAAAAATAGCATCATACTAGGGGAAAAAAATAACCTGCAAGTACAAGGCTTCATTTGTGAAAGAGCATTGAGATGGTTCAGTCTTACAAATAAAAGACACCCTTGCATTCTGTACAGACTGTGCTGTGTTAACTTCTCCCACAGACAGCTGGAACACAACCATGTGGACATCCCAGTCACACCCTGAGGAGGACGAGGAGGAGGAGGAATAACTGGAAGGTTGCAGAAGGAGCTGCCATGGCTTACTCACTATCCCCTAAGCTCTAGCAGAGGAGCCTGCTCCCACACCCAATAAAATTTACAATACACCAGTGATGCTTCATCAGTAGAAGCTCAGGGTTCTTAGTTATCAAAAATCTCTGTGAGGAATTTCCTGTGGCACCAGAACTGGAGTTTGCAAGAAGCTGAAGTGCCTGGTCGTGCTCAACGGATGGTGAAGGATAAGGAATTCGAGTCACTGCTCCTGAGGGTGCAGGATGCCTGTCTCAGTTCATCCCTCATACCTGGGAATTCCCATGCAGTGATCAGTGCCCTCAGGGAAGCAGACTGGCCAGAAGTTTTCCCTGGCAAACAGGGCTCAGACAATCCAAATTGCACATTGTTTTTATTCATGGATCTGTAGGGGTTATTTTAGCACTTTTTGCCTTGTACTGTTTGACAAGACCTAAAAACACTTCCTTCAGTCTAAAACACTCGTGAGTTATCTTAACTGGAACATCAGGTCACATTACTTACTTAAATCATGTTAATATGGTTTTTTCCTATTTTGCACACTAGTCAATCACTTTTTCCCCCCCATAACAACATCCATGAGTGCTATTTCAAACCACTAAGAAATTCCACATCCTTCCTCCTGATGTTTGCACTCACCTGGCTCTGATCCCACCTACACAGTGCAAGAGGAGCTTTGCACCAGCTGCAGGTGGGAAGCACTTTCCTCAGGAGCTAAATCTGCAGCAACCCCAGTCATATTCCTCTCATAACCAGCAAAAGGATATGAACACTGGAAAAAACCCCTCATAATGTTCCCAAGTAATTATCATATTAAGTGTGCTCTGTCCTGGGGGTGAATCTCTTTGTTAATATTGATGCTTATAATAAAGACAGAAAATTTGCTGGATCTATTTGAATATAAATCAGACTTGAGTCTGATTTACTCTCTCCTGACTGGGAAACTTGAAGTTTGCCAGGTCGTGTCCCATATAACTCAGCAAGTTTTTCCTTGACAGTAAGGCTTTTAACGGGAACTTTCTCCTAGACAGTAAGAGAAGGATCTTTCCTGTATGTTTTCAATAAGCAGCACATGAAAAGCCTTATTTTTTTCTCATCATTAATGCAGACACTTATCTGCATATTTATTTTAGGTCACAGTCCTATTAAATTTGACGGTTCCAGTCACTTAAATAAACGTTGCAAATGTAGGTCCCTGAGCTATGAAGCCAAAGTAATTGGATTTATATGACAGCCCTACAAAAGAGCCAAGTTAAAACATTCTATCCCGTTACAGTCACAGCAATGGTGGCACTTCCACAATGTGTTTTTACAGCACTAATAACTTTCCTGAAAGGAAAGGAGGCATGGTAAGCAAAAAAATGTGAGTGCAGATGTTGAACTGGATTTGACCCAGTGATTCCCCAAATGTCCCCTTCTACAGGGCTTAAACATAGTATTAAATATATTAAACAATATATATATTAAACAGGAGACCACTGAAGAGCAAGACTGAAAACATGGCTTGAGGTGAATCAAAACACTGGTATGAAGGAATCCAGCCTGGAAAAACTCAATTTTGATGGGGAAGGTGTCTTGCAACTCACTCTTGCAAAGTCTTCTGTCCTTCAAATGTCTTACCTGATTACAGGTGTTGATGTCTATTCCACTTTTCAGGTATTCCACTACTTTGTCCAGATTGCCAGCTCGGGCAGCTCGGAGGAAGCTTGCATTGCTGTCAGACTGGAAAGAGAGAAGAAAAAAAAAAAGGTCTCTAATTAGCTCCCACTTAAAAGAAAGCACAGTTTCAGCACTGGGGAAAGGTTCCCACATTTTATGCTGCAGGAGAATAAAACAGTGAAACTCCCTGACTTGGCATTATATCTGCATTAATTAACACACTGAAATTAGGCAATAACGGCCCGAAAGAACTGTAGACCTATCAGAGTGAGCAAAATAGTGCAGCAATTGCTGGAATTCAAAATTTAGCAAGAAGAAAAACAAAACCACATCATAAATCATAGCAACTGATATCATCAACAAGAAAAGAATAAATGCATTGACTCACCAGCCATAGTTTTCTGAGGGGTTATACAGATACATATCTTTGTATGTATGTATATATGCTCCCTAGATATATAATTTTATATATTATTTATAGATTTCTATACATGTTATTTATATATTTATGTATATTATTTATATTTTTTAATATATTATTTTTGGATATATATGCTCAGAATGGGCAGCACTGCAAGTGTAGCCAGCCTCTAAACATGCAGCAAAGTGCTCCAGGCTGAGTCCAGGATGACTCTGTAAGCCTGCCCAGCCCTAAACTGCCTGTACTCACCCACTGAAAAAAAAAGGTTAAAAACCCCCATAAAAACATGTTTTCATTTTTCAGCCAGGTTGGGGGATGAACTGTTAAACAAGGGAGTGTGAAATGCATCAGCCTCCTTGCCTTTGTGTGTGATTATGACATGGAGTAACAGCGGTTGTTTGAACCTCCACACAGGTAAATTGGCTCCTACGGCACCTGGAGAGCGGCATTAAAACCCAAGCCGTGCGAGAGAAGTAATGATTAAACAGCATAAGCGTTTGGGAACACGCTCAAAGACAGCAGAAACATTCCTACTTCGGTAAACAGTGTGGGAGTGAGTTGCAAACAGCAGCTCAGTAACTTTGGGAGCCTGTCTGGTGGGGGTGTGATTGGAGAGGAAGAGGTCGGCACGCACACCATTGGACCGGCACTTGGTGTTCCTCTGGAACGCCTCCGGCTGAGCCTGCTCCTCAACTAATTCCACCTCCCTGTCACAAACACTGGGTAGAACCACTCTCTCCCCCTTGGTGAGAATATCCCGAAAGCTCCTGTTTTCCCACTTATTTCAGTGGCCCAACCCGTTCCAAAGGGTTTATTTCGGTCACTTATCACGCCGCACTAACTCACTTCCCAAACCCTGAGCCCAACCTATTTTAATCTGCGACAGATGGATGCCAGCAAAACGATTCTCCTTACAACTGTGCTGCATGCCAAGACCAAAATATTCCCCTTTAAATTCCTTTCAGCAAACTTCAGCACATTTTCCACAGCTTTTGCTGTTAGGAAAGCAGACCTTCTCTCTAAACATGCGGCAGGGGGAAGGGGAAGGTAGCAAAAGGAATTCACAGTGACAGAAAACCCCTGGATGGCTCCAGACCCTGGTCAGGAGCATGTGGATGAGGTTTGACTCCAGCACAGCTTCTGACAGGTACAAAAAGTTCCCTCTGAAGACTGAAAGATGGCTCTTAGCACTGCACCCTGTCCTGGGACGTGCATGTGCCCACATAAAGACACAAAATGATATTTCTATTTTTAAATGACCTTGGGGAAAAAATTAATAGCAAATATTTGAGCTCGTAAGGGGTAAATCTGGACATTCTGATTGAGAAAAGCATCTTTGCCCTCAACAGGACACTAAAAGTGCTGACATCTCCATTATTGCTGGAAGCTCAGATCACAGCTAAGCCCACACGATTACATTCCATTTGTTTCTGGCTAAGAAGACACGAGCAGTGCTTTCCAGATAGGCTCTCATTTCCTCAGTTCATAATTTTGTTTACCTCCAAATTAAATTGCTGCACTGCACAGCACTTCAAGACGCTTTCCATACACCCGAATAATCGATCACAGTGCAGAATAAGAAGTTCTTGCCTACATGAAGAGTAAATCAGCAATTCACCCATACAGTATATACATTCCCATACAAATACCAGGCACTGCTTCCATGAAATACTCAGAAGATTCAGCACCGTGTTTTAAAGCTTAGAAGTCCTGGAAGTTGGGAGTACTCAGATCTGTGTTTTCCTTCCTGCTTTGCCAACTCTAATTTTTCACTAGGTTGTCACTGCTTTGTCCTTTACCCTGTTCTTCTAAGCCTTTAAAAAGCATTTTTGTCGGTACTTCTGTCTCAGCCATTTACTCACTTTAGCACATTACAAATTCAAATCCATTCTGACAAAACCCCCTCAGCAGGCAACAGCAGCACTTTCCTGCAGCCTTACCATGCCAGGGAATAATCATTTTGCATCCGTGGGCTTTTCCAGTGGATCCAGTAAATCTCAGGAAATGCTTTGTTTCCTTACATGCAGATTTTGAGTTGCATTCAATGACGTTGTTTCAGTGACAGAGAAAGTGAAGACAAACTGTCATTTGAAGATCATTTCTTTACAAGAGAGAAGCCAAAACACAGAGCCAAGGTCCTCTGCACCATATGATACCTATCACATCCCCTCTTCCTAAGCACACACCACCCCTGAGGGGCTTTTTTTAGGAGTTTTACACATGGAAGCAGACCATGCTCAAAAGCAAACACTCCAGCACAGGGGAAAGGGAAGGTTTACACAAACAAACAAACAAGCCAAAAAACTACTATGTGAAACAAAATCAATATAGCTTTAAGTACACTCAAAGCATGAATACAAATGTCTCTTTACAAGCACCTGGTTGTCAGATATTGTATAAGAAAATACAACAAACAATCAAGCGATTATAGGATTTATTTTCTAAATGCCCAAAAGGCTGCAGATTCAACTTCTTTCTTGCTAATTGCAATGCTGGAATGTAGCCTGAATTCGGAAGATATATCTCAGGGAATCTCAGTAATTAAATCACACACGGAAATCAGTATTTTAATCAAACAGTCAGAATCAGAACCCTTCCCTTCTGGTTCCTCTGTCCAAGCTCTGGTTGCCCTTCCTGTCTCCTAACACACAGCACGTGCCTGTTCCTCAAAGGCATCTTAGGGAGAAGGGCACAAATGAAACCTGAAATGATCTGCTGTACCAAACCCAAAATATTGGCTTCACATATTCAAATCTGCTGGTGAAAAGTAGCTTCATGAACAAGAAGGAAAGACTGAGGGAGTAGGAGGTTTCAGTTTCCCAAGGACAGCTTTCAACATAACATTATCTAAACCGTCCAAACACTTGTTTGAAATTGGAGAAAAACTATTCCTGCAGGTTGGATTTTTTTTTTTTTTTGGATTTGCCATTCAGTAAGTTGAATGACCCCAACCTGCCCTTAATCACCAGTATGTCTGTGGGAGAACAGAGTCCAGCAATGAGGGCTACTGAACAATTCTCACCTTCTATTAACTGAATGACAGCAAAACAGAATTCAAAACTCAATTTAATAACCACACAGTAGGTTTACATGTAAATTTAACATATTTGGGTTGTATGTCTATTAAATGTGTACCTGAGTAGTAATAACCCTCTCAGACTTACCTTTCAAGCACTGGGATATACTGCTTGGAGTTTAGGGAGAAAAAAAAAGTATTTAGGTGCAACTTTTAAAGATGTTGTCCCTGATCATGAGGTGAGCAAAACCTGCTTTACATAAATCAAGAAAGTGAAATTCTTAGCAGCTATAAAAACTTGGATGCTGAAGTGAATCCTGTATTATCACTGCAGTTAAAATCAGCATTAAGCCACAGTGTTAATGCCATTTTACAAACTCCACAGTTTGGAGACAGTGTTTGTCCAACAGCTGCTCCTATAATTAGCAAAATGCTGATGGCTTGTGAACTCTTCTTCTTCATTAAGAAGCTCTTAATTGACTGGTGGCTCATCAAGTTAATGTATCAGGGAATGCCTGGAGTTGCAAATTCAGCTCCTGGCAGAAGGGAAGTTGCGTCCTCAAAATTCAAGTTTTTGTGGCCTCTTGATGTTATTCAGTGCTTAAGAGGGGAAAATGATATGTCTGTAAACACATCCATTAATTTTCTTTATTCCATATTTTCTTAAGTGTCAATTTGAGCTCCCTACCCTTGAGACAACCACTAAATTTTGTCCCAGTTGGCTTGGTTATTCTCTGCTTTCAGGAACCATCTGTTCCAACCAGCCATCATTTAATTGGGTGCAACTCTAAAAGCAGTGCAGACGAGGTGTTACCATCACCCAGCTCACTTGTCACACAGGTATTTTTGGCCAGTATGGAAGATTCTTCCATTCAGCTGTAAAAGATGGGAATTCAAAAATAACGCTTTTCCTCATGGAATAGTTTCTTAAAACTTGCCAGTGAGTTTATCAGCGGCTCACAGTTTATCTTCTGTGCACTGAACTATTTTATGATCGAGTTGAAAGTGCTGCTGATCTCCAAAGGGCAGAGACAGCGGTGACTGCAAGCAGGCAATGTGGTTTTTTTATTATTTTTTGGTTTTAATTAAACTCCCCGAGCAGAATCTGAGCCTGCAGCTCTGACAGACACACCAGAACACGAGCTACATCTTGCACTTGCAATGGCACAGGCTCAGTAATCTACTGCTGATAAATGACTTAAATGAGATAATAACAGCTATAATGGAAACATATTTTCCCAGCCTTTGATGAAATAACATTCATCTTCTGGAATAAAAGAAATACAACAGTGTTTTGCTTTCCTTTCGAAGGCACTTCCTTTGCCCATAAAAATGTATGTTTTCCTCCTATTCATTTACTGGAGGTGATCAACAGGCCCAATTTTCTTATTTCCATTTCAAAGCAAGCCTTTTTTATCACTCAGCTTTTCCCATTCAAGCATTTCAGATCTGATTAATCCTTCTATGTACCTTTGGTTGTATAGAATTTGTTCCTAAACTGCTGAACTGAAAAGCCACAACTCTGAAACAGCAGCTTTCGTTAAATGAACATCTTGTTCTCGTAATCTCAATCATCTTCTTATCCAGGAAAAATTCACAACTGGCCTGACAATAAACTAATATTTG